GGGAACTGAAGGAAGAAGTTTTCATACTATGTTAGATTTGCTAGAGTGTTGAAGAGCCAAGGATACCGCCAAGGACAGTTAGATCATACTATGTTTCTTCGACAATTTGAAAATGGTACTAAAACGATTCTAATCGTATATGTTGATGATATTGTTCTAACAATAGATAATATAGCAGAGATGGAAAGACTAAAAGGGAGTCTTGCTATTGAATTTGAAGTAAAAGATCTAGCATCAATGCGGTATTTTCTAGGAATGCAAGTTGCTAGATCAAAACGAGGCATCAGTGTATCACAACGGAAATATATTCTCGATATTCTAACCGAAACTGGCATGTTAGGATGTAAACCAAGCAATACACCTATAGATATGGGAACAAAAACTGAAGATGGAGAAAATCCCGTAGAAACGGACAAATATCAAAGATTAGTTGGAAAACTAATCTACCCGTCACACACTAGACCTGACATCGCATTTGCAGTTAGTGTGGTAAGCCAACACATGCACGCTCCTAAGGAAAGCCACCTAGAAGCCGTCTATAAAATACTCAGGTACCTCAAGGGCTCCTCATGAAAGGGGTTATTCTTTAAAAAGAGTGAAAGAAAAGAAGTGGAAATTTTCACGGATGCGGATTGGGCAGGATCGATAGATGATAGAAGGTCCACTACTGGTTACTGTACCTTTGTATGGGGAAACTTGGTAACTTGGAGAAACAAGAAACAAAATGTAATAGTCAGAAGTAGTGCTAAAGCTGAATTCAGAGCTGTTACACAGGGAATATGTGAAGGGCTATGGTTAAAGAAACTTCTAGAAGAAGTAAAAGTCTCAATAAAACCACCAATCAAACTTTACTGTGATAATAAAGCAGCAATCAACATTTCCCTTAATCCAGTTCAGTATGATCGAACTAAACATGTGGAGGTGGACATGCACTTTATCAAAGAAAAGGTTGAGGAAGGAATTATTCGCATGTCTTATGTCCCTACGCAAGAACAAACTGCAGATGTCTTCACCAAGAGACTACCTAAACAGAAATTCGATGATTTCATTTTCAAGTTGGATGCGATAAATATTTACGATCCAACTTGAGGGTGAGTGTTGAAATCACGAGATAATTAACCAAGTTTAGAATAATTGTTAATTTCCTTAAATTAGTATATTTAGTATATTCTTTGATTATTGTAATCTTTAGATATGGTAGGAATATATTTCTTTTCCTTTTATGCTTTTACCTCTTGTACTATAAATAAGGTCGTGTACTTTTCATTATGAATAAGAAGAATGTATAGTTTTTCTCTTCAGTTTTTTATCCGGTGAAATAGCCACAACTGGCCATCACGTAAATTGTCATCGCTCCATAAAATCACTGTCACCGTAAGTGTCTTCACGGTTTCGAACCTATATATTCTACACCCAAAACTTGAAATCTATACCTCTTAAACCCAAACCCAAATGGCTCGTTCAGGGAGTGAAGATAGAGGGGTGAATGTAGTTGAGGTGTCAATAGAAAAGGTGAGAGAAAGTCGGAGAAGGTTTACGAAGATTCGTCATCTAAAAGACACAAATTGTCTCGGTCTGTCAAAAACACGTCGGAGAAGAAGGTATTTGATATATTTTCACACGTACTTTTCAATGGAATCATATGTTTGAACCCTAAAAGTGATGGGTAACGTGTATTGATGGTGTATTGTACATTTGGGACTTGTGCTATATTCAATTTGTGACGTATGAGTTCATTGACTATTGATATTCTGTATTGTGAGCCATAAACAATGTTATTTGCTTTGTTTTGATTTACTAATGGTGGAATGAAAAAAATAATCATGTTCGTGACCTACCCAAACGGACTGTGACCAAACCTTTCCTTTATGTGACCAGTCTGCATGTGGGGAAGTTGTGACCATACATTTTTTTCTTTTTGATCTTTGCTTTGTTTGATTTTTGAATTGTAGAATTGAAAAATNATTATTTTTGAAATTTTTAATTCATTTTTTAAACTTATTTGGTGGAAATTGTGTGTAATTCCGAAATTGCCATTGTCTATTTGGTGGAAATTATAATTTTTTTAATTTCTGAGGTAAACTAACGATTTTCGTGGTCAACTGGACGAAAATCGTCCATTTGGACTGAGGGTGCGAAATGTTTAAAGGTTTGGTACCGTGAGTGACACAAAACAAAAGTTTGGACAAAGTCTACAAAAAAGTTGAAAGGTTTGGAAACGTGGCTGCAATTTTCCCTATATTTTATTATTCTCAAATAATTTTCTCTCTAATATGACTATGTTGATATTAAGAGTCATATCATTTGCACTCAACTTTGAATTGTATGGCTCAAGTTAAAATTACGAAAATAATTTATAACTGAAATAAGGATAGATCATCAACTTTATAGGGATGGCAACAGGGCGTGTGGGCTCTCCCAGCCCCACTAAGAAATTCCCCGTCCTGTTACCGGTTTAATGCGGGGCGAAAGCCTTGCCCCATTTAGTACCCGTTTAAATATATTTTTTTTTTAGCTTTTTATAATTTATTTTTATTGTCCATATTCATTAGATTTAGACAAATAATTTTAGTTGCTATTTTCTATTAGAACTAATGAAAATTTTCATTTAAAGTATTGAATTCTAAAAAAAAAAATTAACAGGGTGGGACAGGTTATTAGAACTAATAAAATTTTGTGGAATTTTTTATTTAAAGTATTGAATTTTAAAAATAAAAATTTTAACGGGGCGGAGGCGCCCGTTACCCGTCCCTGCCCCTGCCCTGAACCCGCATCGAGATAAAATTTTCCTCCCCGTCCCCACCTCGAATACCCGATTAAGCGGGGGTATCGGGTTTGTCAGTTTTTGTGCCATCCCTACGACTTTACAGTCCTCCAATTTTCAAGCCATGTAACTTTATATGATAAGAGTTGTAGTATGACTCATAAGTTAAGTGTTAAAGAGATTAGGAGGGACGGCCTAAAGGTGTAGTCCGTAACCAACCGAATGCAAGTTTTGGTCATCCTCCTATATGACATTGTTGGTGGCTATATCTAGGTCGGATTTCTTGACCCTAGATACTATAGTAGACAAGATCACGTAGATGTTGGATGAGATATGTTTAACATCAGAAAAGATATCCAAGTCTTTAAAAGCTTGAAGATACTAAAATGAAGTAAGCTATGCCTGAGATTTTGTCACTTTTCTAAGTTTTCTTTAAGAGATACGATAAAAGTTCTACTTCGTACACATGAAGCTTAATAAAGATTATTTTGTATTTAAAAAATATCTTAAGATGCTCTAAGATTTCTTTATTTTTATATAGTAATCTTTCGTCAATGTTCCCCCATTCTTCCCAACTTCATCCTCCTACTCTGGTTTTAGGGGGTGTTTGGTAGTGATTTGAGAATTGATTCTCAAATTAATTCTCATTTTTAACCACACATTCTTCAATAAAATAGTATTTTCCATCACATCAATAATTTTTTTTTCTTTTTCAACCACACATTTCTCATCATATCACTATTCAAAATCAATTCTTCCCCCAAAAATCCATATAAATATTTTCCCACCAAATAGGTGGAAAAACAAAATCAAGTTTTTGTGCATCAAATGATTGTACATAGAAAAAGGTGAAAAATATTTTGTCATGAAAATTTGTGCTATTAAACACCCTTGATTGCCTAAAGATAGAAAATATTTTCCTTTTCCCAACCATTTTCTAGGTTTTGAAACGGACCCTGAGATTTCTTTATTTTTATATAGTAATCTTTCGTCAATGTTGCCCCCATTCTTCCCAACTTCATCCTCCTACTCTGGTTTTAGCCCTTGTCTGTGCCAGCTTAAAATTTATCAAATTGGCATTTTTTTGACCGTTGCTTAAGAAAAGTTGGGGCCCACTCTCTCACCAAGTCAGTCAAGAATTACGGCTCAACGTACCAAAAAATGCAAGAAATCAGGCCCAGACAGGGCCTAATGTGCTCGCTCGTGGACTGCATATTAGTCGTGGGTATATTTTGTAACTTGCCCAAAAAAAATGTAAAAGGCGAAGATGTCATTTTCTCTGTCAAAGCACTATCGGGAGTGGCAGTATAAATTTTTCTTGTCCAGACTCCAAAAAAGAAAGAGCCCCCTGTTTTTGAAAATCCTTCATGTAAGCACATTTATGCATATCCAACCAAAAATCATCAGCTCATTCTCAGCTAACGAGTAAAAGTGCAAACAAAACTCTGCATTTTCTCCATCCCCACCGCCATTTTCAGTCCCTTTCACATTCTTGTGTAGAATTTCAATGGAGCTTCGTTTTGTTGCAATTCTTGTTTCAATCACTTTGTTCCTCTTCTTTGATGCCTACTTATGCACCGCTGCTACTCCCATTTACTCTTCAAGGCTGATTCACAGATTTGCAGACGAAGCGCAGCAATTGTGGGTGTCGAAAGGGAAGAGCAACGGAAAAAGAAACACCCAAGGGGCGTGGCCAGAGAAAAAGAGCTTGGAACATATGAGATTGCTATTGGGCGGTGATTTGAAGCGGCAGAGGCTCAGGCTTGGGACCCAGAATCAGCTTTTGGTTCCTTCCCAAGGCGGCCAAACTTATAACTATGGCAATGACTTGGGTTGGTAAGATTATTTTTTTTGCTTGTTAAATGTCTTTGTTATATTTGACTTTTTTTGCTATGCATTGCGTGTCTATCTCTATGTCTGCTTTATAGTTTTATGTATATGGGTTTAGGGTTAAGAGAATGTTTGATTGTCCAGCCAAAAGTATGAAATTTCTGGAAGTATTTGCTATTTTTCACTAATATGAATTCGTTCATAAAGTGTATGTTTTAAAAAGCCGAGTAATATTTGTTTTAGATTGTGAAAAAAATTAAAAAAACATTACTTGTAAAGAAAATAGAAGGATAGATTCAATATAGAATATATTGAAGGACCTTGATCAAGGAAAACATGTAGAACTCTTATTATTCATCAAAAGCTCAATAAGCTCAAGTGATAATGGAAATACATTGCTCTATTTATAGAGTAAAATCTCTAACAAACTAACTATATAACAAATAGAAGAATGATCTAGAATAAACATCTAATAACAAATAGGAGAAGGATCTAGAACAAGGATTTAATATTGGAATATTCCAACACAAGATGATGTTATAATTTTTCTCAACCAATTCGTGCACAACAACGAGCAAAGTCGGGTTTTTTCTGAGATTAAAGGCAATTATTTACTCCACTTTTTCTTTAATTCTTTAAAAGTTTAGTCACGCTATTTTGGGCAAATGAGAGAAAAAGAGGAAAATATCAAGCTGGCAAGTTAGATATATTATATCAAATGGCCAATCCTCTTGCATTGTAATGATCTATATGTCTTGGTCTCAATATGGAAGGTGATGCATTGGAACACATGTGCCGGTTTTCTTGGCTTCTGCCAACAATGCTTCTGTCTAATCTTGATTTTAACTTGGTAGTCGAGTTTTGGCATTTGGCATGATATGACTGTAGCTTGTGTCCAAAGGATAGGGAAAACATATCCTACCAATTTGAATACAGTGTCTATTTACGATTGATTTGAATATTAAAGATGAATCTTTGATTAAATGTGGACCGGCATGCCAAACGGGCTCACCCAAGTCAGTTTCAGTTTTTTTGGATCGGTCTTGACGCTTTGGCCTCACGTCACACCAGTTACATTTTCCCCATAACAGTAACGATGAGATAACTTCAAACTTAATGGCATCCGTGCATAAAGAGGAACATTTTTGGTTATCCTTTAAAGTTATCCATCTCTAAAAATTGGAAAGATATATGAATTTCTGTATTTTTCCTCTCAGCAGTTTAAGGCCCGTACATTATTGTAGAATGAGAATGAAAAATATAGCCGTTATTGGGCCCATACAAGAGATAGAAATTTAAAATTGATGGTTTGATGTGATGGATGACGGTCATATTTTTCATTTTTATGGATGAAAAATAAGAAACAAACGGGGGCTAAATTAGAATGCTACTTCAATGTACTTGTGGATCTAATTTTTAATTCTTGTTGCTTTACATGTTATATGAAAACAAAAGTCCAGGGAAAAACTCAAGTGGAAAAATTAAATCTTGAATCCCGAATTGGCAGTTCATTTGTTATGTTTGGACTTAATTATCTAGATTCAGATGTTTGCTTTCTTGACCTCTTTACTTACAAGTTACAACATGGTTGAAGGTCCAATGGTTGTTTCCATGGCTTCATACATACAATCTTATTCATGTTAATGAAAATTATTGAATACGAAATGGGAACACCAGACCACTGGACAATGATGACTCAAATAAAACTAGACAACATATTCTTTCCATGAAGTCTATGTCATCTTATATCCAAATTTAATGTTTGATTAATCCGTGATTATTCTTTTGCAGGTTGCATTATACATGGATTGATGTGGGGACGCCAAAAACTTCTTTCCTTGTCGCGTTGGATGCTGGAAGTGATTTGTTTTGGGTTCCTTGTGATTGCGTAAAATGTGCTTCATTGTCTTTAAGTCACTACTCCATGTTGGTAGGCTATCCATCTCCAACGTTAGATACGTTTTGTTTTTCTCATTTTTCACTCTTGTAGAAAATATATTCTGTGCTTTGGCATTGAAGTTCTAATAAGAAGTTTTGCGTATTTTTTCCTGATTAATTTTTTTTGAGGAACATAATCTTGATATATGTTGAAACCTTTAGAACATTTAGTGATGTCATATTTCCAATTTTCTGCATATTGTTATAAACAAATATGGAATTAAGTGAATTAATTCCTTGGTATCTGAGTCTACATATCTGAAAGGTTAGGTAATAGTTATTGAGAATGAAGTTTCCAAATCCAACCCCATGTTTGTCCTATTCAGCTCAGGAAATCTTAATAAAAAAATAAAGAGTCCTTTTTATTTAACGTGGAAATTGATTTTCAATGCAGTTTTAGCGGTAAACTCTACATTAAGATGCTATTGCTTTGACCTGTTGTAGGGTAGATAGTAACTGATAGCAGGTTTAGCCATTAATTCTCCATTGATTGATTGGCAGGTGCTCCCTCCTGTTTGGGGCATCTATTATGCAGGATAGAGATCTGAGTCAGTATAGTCCATCCTGCTCGAGCACTAGCAAGCAGTTACCTTGCAGCCATGAGTTGTGCGACCATGGGTCCAATTGCAAAAACCCGAAGGAGAACTGCACTTACACTGTTAAATATTTATCTGAAGATACTTCAAGCTCGGGATTTCTATTCGAGGATCAGATGCATTTGGCCTCTATGGGAGGAAACAAACAGCCAAGTACTGCCAGGGCTTCTGTAGTTTTAGGGTATGGTTAGTTTATCTGTTCAAAATTTCCAACCTTGTTTCTTTTTCGCTTTTTTTTACACACTCATATTTTTTCTCAAAATGCAGCTGTGGTATCAAACAAAGTGGTGATTATTTAAATGGAATTGCCCCTGACGGTCTCTTGGGATTGGGGCCTGGGAGCATTTCTGTTCCTAGTTTGCTTGCAAAATCGGGACTTGTTCCACAGTCATTCTCATTTTGCTATGACCAGAACGATTCTGGGAGACTGTTATTTGGTGATCAAGGGCCTACATCTCAAAAATCTACTCCATTTTTACCATTAAAAGGAAAAACGTATGCCTATGGTCTATTTATACTAGCTGCTACTGCATGCAATTATGTACCTGTTACTTTAATATCCTAGTATTTACGGGTTGAGGTTTTTCTTCTTTCAATTTCTTTCTTTCTTTGTCAGTGTTGCCTATATTGTCGAAGTGGAGAATTACTGTGTTGCGAATTCCTGTCAAAAGATAACTGAATTTAAAGCACAAGTAGATACTGGGTCATCATTCACATATCTTCCACATGAGATATATGAACATGTTGTTGCTGAGGTTATCTTCTTCTCCTTTAGATTTTACATTTCAATTTCATTTTATTCTCCTTCTAATTTCATTGTTAGGTAACCGTGTTCCTCATGATATTCCTATCACATTTTTCTTCATTACAGTTTGACAAACAAGTTAATGCAAAAAGGATCCCGGCACAAGGATTTGACTACTGTTACAAGGCTAGGTACATTCGATTTACTTGAACAACATTTCATTTTCAACCTTAGTGCATTTTGAATGTTGCTTATTTTTTCATCTCTCTCTTATTAGAGCTGATTGTTAGCGTTCATTTTAATGCAGTTCACTGAAATTTCCCAGCATGAAACTTGTTTTTTCCATGAACCAAAGCTTTGTAGTTGAGAATCCCATGTTCCAGATTTCTGATGATAACCAGGAGGTGCATATTCGAAAGCTTTCTTATTTTGTCATGTGCTGGTGAAAGTTGACACTAACCAGTAACTTCTTTATTTGGCATTGTTGGAAAGTAATTACGCTGACCTATGATGATTGAAGAACATCCATCACTTTATTCCACGAAACCTAATTAAATCTTTTTGAAGTTACTATATCCTAGTGATGGAGATAGAAAAAAAGAGAGATAGAGATAGAGTTAGAATTAGTATATAGTTTTAAAGTAGAATTTGATTTAAAATATATTTGTTTAGATTAGTTTTAATATTGTGATAAGGTTTATAGTTTACTAAAAGTTCATTCGTTTGCTTTTAACTTCTTTTTGATTTATTTGCCCTATAAATAGAGGGCTTAATCATTGTAATTCAAAACCCGAATATATGAATAAAAATTGATTTCCTTTGTCCTCAATTCTTCTCTTCTTTGATCCCCTTTCTTTTCTTGCTCGTTAACAAATTTAACGCACCTGAGTCAATTTGGTATCAGAGCAATTCGTGCTCCTTTGGCATAAACCTTCTCAAATCCAAAAAAAAATTCAGCCAACGGTTTCCGTTCCAATCCATATACATATCGCCGACTTCCACCACCTATCCGGGCCCTACAACCACCTTTATACACAAAAACCTTGGAATAGCACAAAAGCAAGAAAAAATTCGTCTCAGTATTAGCAGTAGATTTTTCCTTTTTTAATTAGTTTGGAAAAAAAATCGAAAAAAGAAGCTAAAAGCAACAAACTTCTAATAAACTATAAACTTTATCGCAATATTAAAATCAATCTAAACAAATATATTTTAAATCAAATTCACTTTAAATTTTTATTCTAATCCTAACCCTGTATTTTTTATCTATCTCTATCACCTAGTTGTTGCTTAGGCTGGAGTTCTATGCATATCAAATGTGGTTAATTTCTCTTCAAATTGGTAGAAGATCACTGTTGGCATAAATATTTGATATGACTGTATGATTAGAAAGTGTTCATTTATTTATTTTGGCCTGTTTATAGGTTCCCCTTATTGTTGGAATATGTGAATTGCAAGCTGTTTGGCTCAGCTGAAAATTATTGGGCTATGATTATTAGAGTTGGTAGTCTTGATTACTGAATAAGCAGGAGTTCGTGTTTCACCCAGCTGTAAGAAACTAAGAATCATACTTTGAACCATCATAATCTACTGGTGACTGTTCATCAGATAAATGGAAGGACAACTATTATTTTAAAAATACTAAATTACTCTCATCTTAGATAGAGTATTGGATGTATGATAAAACACACTTCTATAACTTAAAAGCATTTATACGATTCTATAGTCAATTGAAGCACTCTATAATGAAATAAAATTGCAGGAAGCAATTCAAAATTTTTAAAAACCACGAGAGCATTCATTTTAAATTACTAGACCTTGTCTGATTTCTTCCAACGAAAAAGTAGTTCATTACTAACTTGTTCAACTGTTCTCCTAAAAATACTTCACACTTGATTTCCAACTTTGATCCCCTTTAAAGGAATAATGGAAAAAAAATGATATCACTAACTTTTGATGGATATGCCTACAGAATAACATACTTTTCGCTGTATGCTTATTTTGTGCTTTTCCATTACTCTCAGTACTTAACAAATAGAGTACAAAGAATTGTTCGTACTTGGTCTGTCTTTGAGTGCTTTTGCACTAAAAATTGGTTAAGAAAATAAGGAGCCGTTCTCTTTGTATTTCAGTTTTGTGTTTTGAGTTTTGAATTCATTTTGGATTGTGTTTTGAGTGTCCATTTTGAAATTGTTGAAAATTTATTCTTTTTGGCATTTTGAAAAATTGTTTTGAAAACACTCAAAACGCGTTTTGAAAATTTTGACTTGATTATAATTGAAAACACCCAAAATTTGTCGTTTTGAGCTTTCTTTGTAAATTTTTAACATGTTTTAAAAAAAACGTTCTCGAAAATTGGAAAGAGAACGCGTTTTCACTGTTTTGGAAAATTGAAAACAGAAAACAGTTTGAAAATGGTAAAGAGAACAGGTCCTAAGTACTTGACAATGTTTGTGCAGGGAGAGTTAAGTTGCTTAGGCGTACATCCTATGGACGGCAATATTGGTATCATAGGACGTAAGTACTTATTTCTGTGCACATAATGACGTACCTCCTTGTCAATTATTTCTCCTTTTGCGTCTCTCTTTTGGCACACAATGACAGCTGTTAGGAACATTTGTCTCGCAATTGACAATCAGTAGATAAGTAACATCATGCAAAAATTTTTTCTTTTGTAATTTGTGCATAATAAAATTTCTTGCAAAAATTACATTTCATGCAGAAAACTTCCTGATGGGTTACCGCATAGTTTTTGATTGGGAGAAGTTGAAGCTGAGTTGGTCTATTTCCAATTGTAAGTAAATTTTGCATATTTAATTCTCCTAACATTTGGTTTATAAAAGACGAAAATATTAGGAATTAGGTGGCGATTGTTGCCTTCCATAACAAAATAAACAGATCATTTTGAAATCCACCATCTTCCGCACATGTTCAATGACTTGTATAAATGGACCTGGAATGACGTATTTAGTATCAAATGCATTATATAATATTATGATTACCGTACTTGACATGGGAGAAAAAGAATAAAAGGCATAAGAATGGTTTTCATAATATTGTTAGAAATTAATCTAGCTTGCAGATTGAAACCAGTGATTTAATACCCAGACCGGACAGGTGAACTAGAGAACTGGGTGGCTGCCTGTCTGGCCTGTCCGGGTGACAGTGTTAGATCAAGTTTCAAGAGAACTGGTCAAACCTGGGCGTTTTGGAATGAAAACCATCGACCCTGTTCGGATGAACCATGCAGGTTTTTTGCTGTCCTTTTAAAAAGCCTAAACTGAGGCTTGAACCTTGGACCTCAAGGTTGAAAAGAAGCTGCCCACCACTATGCTAAGAAGGTTTTTTTTCCATAAACCTGAACGAATATATTTTAACATCAACATACTTATCAATATAGGAATAAGAAAAATATTTTCATCATCTTGACCTTTGAACACACACAAAATTGATAATTATTTTTACTAATTATTTAATTATCAAATAACTATTTTGACCATCACTTCTAAAATTGGTTACATTTATTCCTCAAAATTCTATTTAAATATTATTTTTTGTCAGAATTTTGACCCGTTAATGGCACACCTGTTCAACCAGTGACCGGCATTGTTGAACCAATTACTCATTGACCCAGTATCATGCTAGGTTGAGTCTGAAAACTTTGATTGAAACTCTACAATAAATGCTTTAAATCATGAATCTATTTTATTCAAAATAAATGTCAAATGTAGTAGTCTAAGATGTATATATAGAACTTACTAGATCTAAGATTCATGTACAGAATGCTCCTTCTCCTAGCATAAATAGGAGGACTCTTAGGTTTATTTCAAGCTATAAGCAAAGCGACTATGATTATGAGTGAGTGTGAGTGTGAGTGTGACTCTCAAGTAAAGAAACACACTTTGTTCAAGAGAATAAACTTTTTCTTTTGTAGTGTTCTTATGAGTGTGCTTGATTTATTTGAGAGCACCCCTTTACTTCTAACAAAAATACCAATATATAAAAATTATTACATGATACAATGAAAGTAAAATAATAGAGTTTGCTGTCCAGTTTTAATTATAGATGATCTTATTATTGAGAAAAATTAATTCTGGTGTCCCCAGGTCAAGACATTGGCGACAGCTGGGAAGTACACCCGACACCTCCACCAGGTGGTGCATCCCCAAAATCGTTGCCAATAGTTGAAGAACAGCGCCCCCTGGTTTAATCGGGACACTTTTATGTAGACATGAAGAAATATTGTATGTGAGAATGATACAATTTCATTAAGGCACGTAGAAACTAAAAAGAGAGTATTAATGCCGAATTTTATAGTGGTTAAGTATATCATAATCGGAATGATAAATAAAGATTATATAGTCGACTCTGTACTTTCGAATTTAACATGTGATTTCGTAGTACTTAATTTGTTGTTGTAATTGTCTAGACGACTAATTTTGTATGGGGCCATTAGGATGTTCTATGAGTACTTTAGAACGTGAGCTATGAACCTCATGGATAAAGACTATAAGGGTGTGTATGTGCAAAGTGTTTCTTTTGAAATATTCCAGCCTTTATCGATCGAGACACGAATCTTTCTTTTTTATCATCTTCCTTTTAGTTTTCTATTTTCCTCTTCAATTATTCATGTTTTAAGATATTAAAATCAAAACAAAGAGGAAAAATATCAATTTTTATGTCAATATTGAATTTTTTTGGCTCAAACATTGTTTAACAAGCATTTAATGTTTTTCTATCATTCATTAAATATAAATAATATAAAATACAAATGGATAGTTTAGTTTCTTGTTTGAATTGCCATAAATTACTTTATTGATGTTTTCTCTTCAAGTCGATGGAGATGTGGATTTTGGAAAGCATATGTAAAAGCCCTTGGGCTTGGGAGAAGAGAGAGAGAAAAAAGAAAATTCCTTGATGATTGGGACAAAAAAATTGTCTTTTGATTGGGAATGTGATCCGCAGTTTCATTGGAGATGCTCTAGGCAATGAAATGAAGTGAAAATAGTGCAATGATATGGTTTGAAGTCTTGGGTCTTTTAGGGTTGTGGTCGGTAATACTTCTATGCTTGAAAGAAAACGAACTTGATTTCCGCATGTTATAAGGAAGATGGCTTAGTATGAATCTAGTTACTTGCATCTTTCAGTGGATCTAATAATGCATTTATATAATTGGTTTTAAATTTATCGTGAACAAGACTTATTTCGTGATTACTTTGATTATTTAAACGACTAATTTCTTATGGAGCTATTTGAATATTCAATTGGTAGTTTAAAATGTGTGGTATAAGCTACTAGATAAACAGTATAAGACAGTGTTCTAAAAAATGTAAAGTGTGATTAGACGAAAAGACCAATTTTCAATTCTAGACGAGCTTATGAGCAATTATATGCGCATGTGCAAAGTACAAAGTGTTGGTCTACCAATGAATCTTCTTTTAAAATATTCCAGCCTTTATTAATTGTGTCACGAATCCTTCTTTTTTATTATCTGCCTTTTTGGCTTTCTGTTTCTGTGATAGAGACAGCATTAATTTTTGGAAATCTGAGAAAGCAATACATGTCTGGCATTTGAACAGAACAACTGTATCAAACACTTTAATGCACTGTTTTTCTGGGGCCTTTGGTGGATGAATCCTGCAACAAGTACTGAATAATTATACAGATTTTAACAGAATTTTAAAATAGAAAGGAATAGATTCAAAGGTGGGAAGAGGGAAAATACAAAAGGACGAACAGGATTCAAGAAATTCAAAATTCTGTCAAAATTCTGTGAGTTATTCCTGTACTTGAGGAATAACACTTGGTGGATTATGGAAGATTGGAACTCTCTCTTTTATCAAAATTCTGAAAGCTATTTATCAACGAATGCGTCGAAACATGATCATTTCCCTTCACTCGTATCTCAAATACAAACACACAAATTATTTGTGAAGACGTCACGAACACAATATTTTGCATAATGAGAAAATTAAAAGTTAGGACGAGAAGTCCTCCCAAATATGAACAATACGTTTATTAAAGTCTGCTAAAACCTTTTTTCTAAAATTCTGTCGAATAACCGCAATATTAGACCTTAGAATGAGAATATCAAGTGACATTTGCGTGTGTTATTTAAGTTTACGTATAGTGCATGCCAATATTATGGATATGGTCGGTTAAGATGAAACCAAAGTCAACATTAACAAAGGTTAATTACGAAGAAAATTTGATAAAAATGTCATAATATTTATTTCTTATAATTTTTAAATTGTATGAATAAAAATATAAAATCACTTTACTTTAATTATATAAAATAATAATAATGGGGATAATAAGTCTCCCAAATTGTGAAAATATTTACCTTCTGGATTGCTGCCACCTGTCTAAGAAGCCATGTTTTGTGGTCATGATTTATTCTTTACGACTCTCTTCTTTTCCACAACCCCCACCGCCCCAATCAACCAAACTCAAACTATTCAAAAATGGACAAATGCATGTAAACAATCAACCCTTCAAAAGTTCTCACAGTTTTGCAAGTTATTAACTGATCCATTAGAAATTTTACTTCCAAGTGGACACTCTGTCCACTCTAGATAATTTCACATGCCACGTGTCACAGGGATCTCCTGCAACGTGGCAGCAAAATTGACTTCATCCGAATTCTGAATCTTGATCAAGAATCATGCAACCATTTAAAAAATTTCCTAAGTATGAAATTCTCGTGACAAATTTAAAAGCTATGCTACACGTATATAACGGTATATACAAAGGTTTACAATTTATTGTACACAGGTCCCCTCCATGTGAGGAGGTGTAAACCATTATATACACTCTGAAGTGTACAAGGGTCATTTCCCCAAATTTAAACTATAAAAAAGGGTTTTTGGATCAAGAAACGCTCATAAATAGAGAATTTGATATGGGTTTTTTCATCTGATATTGATAGACAGTTTGCATTTAAGTTTGTAACACTATACAAGTAATTAAGAAGAGAATTAATCTCACAAGTTAAGAAGAAGGTTATTGCTGTTTCTAGGCTTACTTTACTACCCCACTCCATTATTTGCAGTTTGTCCTCTTTGATATTTTTCATTCCTACAATATATACACGCGCGTGTGCACATAAACACGTGTATATATATATACACATACATGCAGTCCTTCAAGACAACACAGGGAAAATCAAGAAAGAATAGAGCTTCTTATAGTAGTTATAGTCTTTTCCTTCAATCTTAGAGAAAGAAGAGAGTGGGGTTTTGTTTTGTTTTCTTATTTGATCAAATTCATTTTAATTCAGACATATAGTTTTCAGACAAAACAAGAAGAAAATGGGGGTTTCAGGCACTATGGAGTTCTTGTCTGATCTGCTAAGCAGTGCTAAAAAGGGCAAGAAAAAGAAGCAGATGAATACTGTATCTCTCAAAGTCAGAATGGATTGCGAAGGCTGTGCACTTAAAGTCAAGAAGGCACTCTCTGCAGTAAAAGGTAACAACTATCATTTTATATGTATATTTCTTCATGTCTAATTCTCACAGTTATCTAGGTACGGTGGACTCGACAATCTTATCCATTATACTGTCAAATACGGGAATTAATATTGCAGGGGCGAAATCTGTGGTGATCGACTTGAAGAACCAGAAGGCATCAGTAACTGGTTTTGTTGATCCAAAGAAGGTGTTGAAGGCTGCTAAAGCAACTGGGAAAAAATCTGAGCCATGGCCGTATGTACCATACACAATGATAGCTCACCCTTATGTTGCTGGAGTTTATGACAAAAAGGCACCTCCAAATTATGTTAGAGGCACTGATGATCCAGCAGTTGCCACTCTTAATCCAGTTGAAGAACAATACACGCTCATGTTTAGTGATGATAATCCAAATGCATGCTCTGTTATGTAATAGAGATTAAGCCAGGAATTAATGACCTTAATCTCTCTTACTTTAGTTTAATTTCTTGTGACTCAGTAAAAAAAATTCAAAGAGATGAAATATATATATAAATGACTTACTTTTATATCAATCTCCGCCAACTCGATGGTCCAGCAAATCTCCCATGGATGCATACAGTAGATGCGAAATTGTTCGGAACTTTGAATAGATTTAAATGCCACTTGGTACAAAAAATTTATTAAATCCATGTATAGTAGAGAATCTAGAGATTAAGGGTTGATAAAAACTTCAAGTCAAGATCAATAAATAATTTTAACTATACTCTTTGTGAGACTTGGTCCACTTGGAGCATCTCCAAGAGACTTTAAAATATTATTCTTTCTATTTTAAATAATCAACCCTCAAAATTATGCTACACAAGACTTTTTAAATTAACATTTTAAATAGAGAGTCAGTTTAACTCTCCAAATGAAGAGAGTTTTTTGAAAATGCTCTTACATCAAACGTTTTCTACGAGATGAAGAAATTGCTATAATAACCACCACATGCGTATCATTCTCTTCGATCTTGTCTTTAATTGCTTTTTATAAAGTCGTACAGAGAGTTATAGTGCTTGCTATCTAAAAATTGCTCCATGGATTTTCATCAGAAATGTTTGATGCTTGTTGGGGCTTTTTTGGTGACCATAAAGTCATCGGACGAATTGACGAGTAAATCCAAACGCAACTATTGCTCCCTAGCGATACAGGCTCGTCCTGTTTCTACCCACCCAGGGTACCATAGTATGTTAGGAATAAGGAGAACATATTGGACGTAAGCACTCCCTTAGTTGAAGATTGTGTCATCCTACCTTTCAATACATTTCATCAATTACAATCAAAATATATTAAAATTTTTATTTTAATCTAGGTTTCGCTTGTAAATTAGGTTTCTTTTTAGGGATAATTTCATTCTAAATTGACGATTATGACCATTATTGACAAAGTTTTATACCATTTCTAAGAGAGTATTATTATTATTTATCATCATTGGTGTTAATCACTAGTTTAAGTGAGAATTACATTACATTAAATGATAGATTTATTTAAATGTAATGTCAAATGATTTATTTAACTGGACCCATAAAATGTAGTCACATAAACTGGTGTTTCGTAACATTATTATTTTAAAATGACGTGTATTGTAACATTTTTTAAATAATTTTCACCAAAATATATAATACTTATGTTAAAAAAAAAGAATTAAACAGTAATTTGAGAAATATAAAAAAGTTAAACAGTAATTAGAAAATAATAAGTAGGCTTCGAATTTATAGGTAGATTTAGATATAGCAATGGGGTGAGCTGCGGCGACTCGACTCTTACAATCACGAGCTTGGCTCGTGCCCAAAATATGGGCTTGTCTAGATCCTAAGCTCATGAACCTCATGAGCTGAGCGCCCACGAGTCGTCCAATTTTTTTGTTTTTCAAAATAAATTAACAAATAAGGTTAAAAGTGAGCAATTTTTTTAAAAATAATAAAATAAATCCAAAAAATGAGACAAAAATGAGCCAGTTCACGAGTCTATACGAGCAAGCTTATGAAATTGTGTACACGAGCTCAAACCAATCGACCTGGCTCGTGAAAAATAATGTGAGCTCGGCTCGGTCTATACAAACACACAGATTGTTTGTGAAGACATCATGAACGCACTATTTTTCATAATGAGAAAATTAAAAATTAGGATGAGAAGAAAAGAATATCAGATCAATTCGAAAAAATGACATTCTCAAGATAATATTGATATTTAGAAGAATTAATTTCCTCCCAACTACGAACAATAGGTTTGTAAGATAATTCCCTCCACATATTCTCCGTTGATTTGACGCTTCCAAATAGAGCATGTATAGATTGAACCGTCGAATAAAAAAAAAATATCAAATTTTAATTATAATCACATTTAATGGGATCCACAAATTTTAACATTACGTTATTATCAACTTTCATTAAAAATTAGCAACAAGCAGGGCCGAAACTTGGGCAGGGGAATGACTGAAACAAGGGAAATATGGAGCAATAAACCAATAGAGCACAGAAATCCGAGAGGAAGCTCCATCCTTCCTACCGGCCGAAACACACCCAACCCCAAGAAGAGCCACGCCCATCTGAAACCACAAGAGCACCACACCCAAATGTCGAACCAAAGCCATGGCCATTAAGCAAATCCGCACCGGGCAAAAACAAACAAACAACATCAAAAATAAAAACTAACAACACAACAGCTAAAACACCACCAACACCAACCCAACACACAAACAAACACCACACAGAGGCCCGCCGGCAGCCCCAACAGCACACCACCCGCCAGCTCCGGCCAACACGAGCCCCAACGAAACCGAGGACCCAGTTCGCGTACGGACCACCACCGCCGCCACAACGGAGGTCGGCCATACAGACCCCAGCCATACCTCGCCCGCCTCGCTCACCGGTCGGAGCACAAGCAAACCACCGGCAAAGTTTGCTTTTCTTAAGACAAGGAAATTAAGTTGGACCAATTAATCATCACAATATTTTTACTAAAAAAAATGTAGGAACGAACAAGACTATAAGAGAGACATTTGCATGTCTTACGTATAGTGCATGCCAATATCATGTATATGGTCGGTTAAGATGAAACCAAAGTCAACATCCACTAAGGTTAATTCCAAAGAAAATATGATAAAAATGTCATAATATATATATATTTTTTTGAAAATAAGCATATCGCTTCCAAATAGCAAGATACCGATCCAAGGAGGAGTGCCCTCCAACACAATCTCTCCTCAGAGAGTTTAAGTGTTTCCAATGCTACAACTAGCAACACCTTACCATCAAGAAACAAGACAAAACAGACACCAATAACACAAGCAAACAAACTCCAAAGTGGGACTGTGATAGCAAAGACCCTGCACTAACACCAATATCCAAATCTTTCCACAAAGCAGGCCCAAAATTGAGAAAACACGAGGCACGAGCCAAGGCTACAAAGGCGGAGAAGCAGAATGCAAAGAAATCGCCTCCCTTTCCATGATTAGTGCCAAAGCAGTCTCTGAGACCAGAATTGCACCTGAGAATGGCATAACGTCCAGAAATACAACTGAGATTGGCACGAATCTGCATCAAATCCCGGATTTCCAGCCTTGTGCGAGCAGTTCCCAATGGGGTCGGACTCTCGCCCAACCTGTCCGAAAGAATCCCTGATTTAAAGCTCAAGTTGGACGGCCCGATCGTGGTTCCTTTCCCCCGTTGGAACGCCTACCAACACAACCACCACTTCATGCTATCGGCCTCTGAAAACCCAACCACCACAAACAAAACAATAAAAACAACTACCCCAAAACAACGCCCCAAACTGAAAAACAGGAAAAAACAACGGAAGGGGAAGGAAAGGAAAGGAGGGGGGAGCCGAAGCTCCCACCCCCCGGCAAAATCACGGGAAAGGGACGGTTTTACATCAAGGGTAAAGCGAGAGCTAGGAGAATCAGGAAAGAACACCCACAACCAAACCACCACTACAGATAAAAATCCGAGAGAAAAAACCCGAGTTTCTGGGAAACCTGGGAAGAAAAACCTTACCTTTTCGCAAAAAGGAAGGACGTTGTGGAGTTTTTCTTATAATTTTTAAATTGTATGAATAAAAAAAATAAAATCACTACATACTTTAATTATATAAAATAATAATAATAATGGAGTAAGAAGTCTCCAAAATTGTAAAAATATTTACCTTCTGAGAAATTTATTTAAATGCAATGTCCCATAAAATGTGGTTACTTAAACTGATGTTAGATAACATTATTTTTTTCAAATGACACACATGTACCGTAACATTTTTTAAAAAAATAATTTTCACAAAAAAATCACTTATGTTAAAAAAAGAATTAAACAGGAATTTGAGAAATATGAGTATATGTAGAGATGATAATGGGGCGAGTTGCCCCGACTTGACTCTTTCAATCACGAGCTCAGCTTGTCCCCAAAATATGGGATTGACTTGATCCTAAGATCGTGAACCTCAGAAGCCGAGCTTCCCACAAGCGAAAATGGGTCAAGTCGTCCAATCTTTGTTTATTTATATTTTTTGTTTTTCAAAATAAATGAACAAATAAGTTTAAAAGGGAGAATTTTTTTTTTAAAAAAAAGGTAATTAAATAAATCCAAACATGAGACATAAAAATGGCACGTAGCGCTATTAGCTGTCATTCTGTTGATACTATCATTTATATAGGTAGTTAGGCGTACTGTAAAACACAACTTTCATTTCCACAGCTCTTTTCTCTCTCTTGGATCAATAGGCAGGAAACCAATGGCTCCGTCACCG